GTGGTCCCAATTAAACTAGTTCGTGGGCCTTGGCCCCAATTAATCTTGTTCGTGGGCCATGGTCCCAATTAAACTAGTTTTTGGGCCGTGGTCCCAATTAAATTAGTCCGTGGGCCGTGGCCCCAATTAATCTAGTTCTTGGGCCGTGGTCCCAATTAAATTAGATCGTGGGCCGCGGCAGCTGTATTCTTTTTGAATTCTACAGAAGCTTTCTCCTTTAAAATGCGCAAAAACATCTGGCTAACCTAGATAAATGGATACAACCACAATATATCTAAATATACTGCATACTGTAAACTCCAGCTTATTTCAAATACCGGGCCGACTTTAAGCAGGTAGAGCAAGCTGTATAAGTACATACACAGACTAGATTGGGCAATACGGGACGGTACACCAGATGAATCATCTTCCACAATAAGAGAGATTTACAGTGTGCAGAGCTGAAAACTTTAGTATGGTGGATATCAAGATCAATGGTTGATCTCTTCTTTTTCTTAATCTCCAGATTAAATAATGTTTGTTCTCCTCTTGTTTATTAATCTTAAGATTAATTCACCGATCTGGATTAAGTATATTCCATTCTAAAGTTTTAAGCTCAGATAAATTTCTTGTCACTACTATCAATTAAAGATTAAACAAGAACAAATTTTCCGAATTTTAAATTAAAAAATAAATCTACAAAATTAGAAAATAAATCTACAAAATTAGAAAATAAATCTACAAAATTAAAAATAAATCTACAAAATTAGAAAATAAATCTACAAAATTAGAATATTAATCTACAAAATTAGAAAATAAATCTACAAAATTAGAAATTAAATCTACAAAATTAGAAAATAAATCTACAAAATTAGAAAATAAATCTACAAAATTAAAAAATAAATCTACAAAATTAAAAAATAAATCTACAAAATTAGAAAATAAATCTACAAAATTAGAAAATAAATCTACAAAACTATAAAATAAATCTACACAATTAGAAAATAAATCTTTAAAACTAGAAAACAAATCTACACAATTAGAAAATAAATCTACAAAATTATAGAATAAATCTACAAAATTATAAAATAAATCTACAAAATTATAAAATAAATCTACAAAATTATAAAATAAATCTACAAAATAAATCTACAAAATTATAAAATAAATCTACACAATTAGAAAATAAATCTTCAAAACTAGAAAATAAATCTACAAAATTAGAAAATGAATCCGAAAAATTTAAGCAAAGATTTGTTTTCAAAGGAACTGAGTTCTTGCCACCAACTGAAATGATCTAAATCTCAATACCTTTGCAATTTTTGCTGTAAATCTTTGACATTTCAAACTATTTGACCCAACAGAATTCAAAGTTTGAAATATCAAAGGTCAGAGATTGGGACAAGAACTTAGTTTCTTTAAGCAAAAAATCTTTTTTCAAAGGAATATTGAGCCTTTCTTTGCCACATACTCTGCTTTTCAAATTCTTATATCTTTGCAACCCGACGTCGTATACCGAAGCTATGAATTTTGTTAGATCAAATATATTAAAGCTTGAAATTTCAAAGGTTTACATTATCAGGTTACATTTAGTTTGTGACAACGACTCAATTCCTTGAACAACAATAAATTAGTTCTATCCTCAAATGTTTCACAAAAATAAATCTGATCTTGATATGCGAATCTTTCTTCAAATTTTAATGAAAAAGAAACCATGGCTTTTATTTTTATTCTGTAATACACATTTTAAAAATCATTCTGCTAAATTAAAGTAAAAAAATTTAAAATTTAATTTACAAAAATTTACAAGGGGGAAATAGATTTTAATTCAGGATTAAGAATTTTATACCCCCTCCCCCTTCCTCACCCCAAACCCCCCCCTCCTCCAGGGGCTAGAAATAAATCAACCCTTGAAATGATTTTATTTCAGTTGAATTCAGAAATCTGTCCTCAGAGAAATCAGAGGTCCGACTCACATCAGGTCAGAATCTATTTTTTATTTATTCTTTTTTTTAATTACTTCTTTGTGTTGCACACCATGAAATAACCTTTGCATGTGAAACCTTTATATTAATATCCATATCTTATTTTAACTTTTTTTTTAAGTAAGCATAGACGTAAGTATAACGTAATTATTTATTCATGAAACATAACAAAAACAAATCAAATCAAGTGTCTCAGGAGAAAATATTTAAAAGCCTTCAAAATTTGAGGTTGTGGGAATTTTTCCCCCTAATTATAAACAAAAAGAGAAGGAAAGGAAAAGAAAAGAAGGAAAGGAAAACGAAAGCTTCTTCATAATAAGGCTCTTTGCTCATTTATTTTACTCTATCCCCGTAGTAAATTTGAATTCGAACAGGACCTGCCCAGTTTGTACCGGCCTGCCAGATAACAGCGTGTACTGACCCGATTCTATGGTACAGTACGTCGCCCTAACCAGACTAACAAACGTACAGGGGTCAATTTTCTTGGCATAGTCCCGTGCGAGGGCTAACTATGACAACTCCCATGGCGCGTTCAGACTTTTTACAGTTCCCGGCCTAATCCTAGGTCTATTTGACCGACCCCACTTGCTTAGTCCACCGTGATTTATTTGTTAGCTATAGCTGGGCCGAATTGGCTGAATTTTTTTAAGGAAACCCATAAGTACCCTTGGGGCTAAAAAAAATGTTTTTTTTCAAAAATCGGATTTTTGTTTTTCATATTAGATTTTTTTTTCAAAATTCCACGGGCACTTCAGCTTGTTCGATATAATACGAAAAATGGAATGCGTCACTGCAGCTTAGAATGAATATAAAACTGAGTCTGAGTAAACTGAATTTGTTTTTATCTAGCTATCTATCTATTAATATGTATCGTTCTATCTATCTATCCATCTATCTATCCATATATCAATATATATATCTATCTATCTATCCATCTTATCTAGACATATTTTTTTGGTTAATAAATAAATTAAGCATACTTAATATTATAAATGTGATATACTATAAAATAAAGGGAACTATGCTGCTTGTGGGTTCGAGATTATACTGATAAGAAAACACGAGCCTTTAATGTATCAGGTATATAAAGTGTTTTTTTTTCAAATATATTTTCAAAAACATTATATTTTATTATTTGTTTAGAATGAAGATTTATATTTAGAAATAACGTGATTACTAAAAGAATGTTTATTGTTTAGCTCAATTTTTTTATTCAAAATTTCTTATTTATACACCATTGGGAAAGCAACTTTTTTTAAGTGTGACGGTAAAATATTCACAAACATCCCTTTCATCACTTTGGTCAAATTAAATTGAATTAACACTTGGCGTACAGGGCGCTTGACGCCCATCTTCTATTTTAATTGGTGTATACACTTCTTATTTATTCACCATTTTGAAAGCAGTTTATATTTTTTTATTAAATGTGACGGTAAAATATTCAAAAATACCCCTTAAACACTTAAAATTAAATTTAATATAACACTTGGCTTATGGGGCACTTAACGCCTATCTTCTATTTCAATTGTGACATGTTCTCTTTGTATACATTGAAAATAAACAAAAAAAATTCGTAGACCTCCAATTTTTAAAAAAATCATATTTCTTTTGAGGGAAATTTTTGAAAATTCGATCATCCATGAACCTTCCCTGGGGTCCCGCAAGGTCCCACACAGAATTTGGGCCCGGTCGTTTAAGCCGTTTTGACGTTTAAAGGATACAAACAGACAAGCAAAGTATAAATATAGATTAAATAACAAAAAAAGCCTGCTTTAAAATGAATATCAATGAAAAGAGTGTGTCATGTTTGTATCTCAATTATACTTTTGAACTTTCTTCTTGGTAAAAATAATAAACATATATTTCATAAATAATAAACATATATTAAAGTGACTTATGCAGCATATACAAAGAGGACAAATTTAAATAATTCAATACATTTTTTACAATTAAAATTAGTTTTTTTTTACAAAATTGACTCGAGAGACAACAATATTTTACACAATTTTGATCAGATAAAGGTTTTAAGAATACGGTTGTGAATCGGGCATTGCCATCTTTGGGTGGAGCTTCACTTGAAAATATACCACCTTTAATAAATGCGTTCTTGTAGATGTTTTGCACACAATATCGAAACTAAATAATATCAATTTCCTGTAATTTATAAAACTGGGAATAAACAGGGAATTCAAGGGAAAAAAAAAAAAAAAAATTATATTTAAGGTTTATATACCCTGTATTCTATTATATTTAAGGTTTATATACCCTGTATTCTATTATATTTAAGGTTTATATACCCTGTATTCTATTATATTTAAGGTTTATATACCCTGTATTCTATTATATTTAAGGTTTATATACCCTGTATTCTATTATATTTAAGGTTTATATACCCTGTATTCTATTATATTTAAGGTTTATATACCCTGTATTCTATTATATTTAAGGTTTATATACCCTGTATTCTATTATATTTAAGGTTTATATACCCTGTATTCTATTATATTTAAGGTTTATATACCCTGTATTCTATTATATTTAAGGTTTATATACCCTGTATTCTATTATATTTAAGGTTTATATACCCTGTATTCTATTATATTTAAGGTTTATATACCCTGTATTCTATTATATTTAAGGTTTATATACCCTGTATTCTATTATATTTAAGGTTTATATACCCTGTATTCTATTATATTTAAGGTTTATATACCCTGTATTCTATTATATTTAAGGTTTATATACCCTGTATTCTATTANTTTAATATAATCTCTATAAAATCTTCAAATTCCTTTGTAAGCTTTAATTCTCTTAATGACGGTATGACTTCAAAAAACAATTGTTCAAAAAATAAAAGTCAAAACTTCTGAAAAAAACGAAATGTGTTAAATTTATTCTATTCTTGTAAGTAGAGAATACCATTATTTACCAAAACTTTGTAAATTTGATAAGGAAGAGATCGAGAATGAGTTTAACTCTATTAGTTCATTCAAAAGTTTTCAGTTTTGAAAATTAATTAAATAATATCTAGGTTGTACCTGGCCGAATGTCTCTGCTCGTAATTCTATTTCTGGTTATCATCAATGTTTTCAACAATGTCAGGTAATTTATCAGCAGATCAATTCATCAATTAATCCTTTATCTTAATTTTAATTTAAAAGGCATGTCCTTAAATATATGCACCATGTACCTGACCTTATTTTTGTGAATTAAGTTAGTTTATAACAATATTTCACTTCGCGACTTTGCATTTTAGAAGTCTTCTTGTGAAATCTTTGGAAATACTGTCTGGACCCCTCCAACTTACCATTTTTAATTCATTAAGTATAAAAGCAAGCAAAAAAGTTTGAAAATCCCGAAATCAGAAATTGCAAACAAACACAAAACAAAATGTTGCAAATTTCTAGTAATTGTGTTCAATTTTATTTGCACAAAGGTAAGGTCTTATCATTTGGAAGCATGAATCAATTTTCAATAAGATTAACTTCTAAAAAAATGGAGTTCTAAATAATATTATTCTTATAGTTTCGGTAGAAATTAGTGATTAGATATAATTATTTTTCATTCTAATCTGGAAAAGAGTGATTAAGCAGTAATTAATGGTTAATTAGAAATTAATCAAGTAATGATAAAATTAATGCAATCAAAACAGACGTCAGAGATTCTCTGAGCTAATGTCTTTCACAAACAAACAAAAAAGAAGATAGAAATTTGTTATTAAGAATTATTTGAAAAGCTAGTAAAAAAGAACAAAAATGAGTATTTCCAACATACTTAAATTTTTTAATCCCTATATCTTTGAAACCTGTTGTTGGTAACTTGGTGTAAACCATTTATATTTCAAACTAAGATTATTTGGTCTAACATAATTCATAGTTTGAACTATATGAAACGGCTTTGGGTTTTAAAGATACAGGTAGGGATGTTAACGTTTTGATTAAAAATAAAAACGATCGTTTCGTTAAGAAAACATCAAGGAAAATTGAAAAACGAAACGATCGTTTTTTAAAACAATCGTTTTTTTTAAAAGTTCGTTTTTTAAAAACTGTCATTTTTAAACGATCGTTTTTACAAAGCTCGTAGTTTTGTTAACATTTGTTAACGATCGTTTTCAAAAACGATTAACAACCCTAGATACAGGGAGTTTGTGGCTAAGACTCATTTCCTTTCCGATATGGAACTAAATAAGTTTGCTTTTCTCACTCTTAAACATTCAATGAAAACTAGTGGAGAGACGAGGTTGAAATTCGTTTCAGTAATACCGCATACAATCCATTTTGGATTGTTAAAACTTTTATTCAATTGGTTTTTACAAATTTATAGGATTATACAGATTTTTAGGAACTCACAAAAATTTGAATATAACAAAATTCTTGACTACACGTGTTTTTGTTATGCTAAATTTGTGCCAAATGAATTAGTTTGTAAATTACAAACTATAATTGTAGAGGCAGAAAGCCAATATTAGCTTTCCTATAATCATATTTAAAGAGTGAAAGGTCGTCATTCAAGTCTTATTCTTTGTGGGGCAGAGGAATTCTGCTACTTGAATTTTCTTTATAGTTTCCCTCCAGAAACTGCAGTGTACTTTTTCTCTACACAAACATATGCAAAGGATTTGAGTCTTTGCAACAAATCCCAATTTTTTAATACCTATATATCTACAACCAAATTATGTAAACTCTTGATATTTCAAACTTTGATTGATTGACATAACAGAAGTCATAGTTTGAAATATCAAAGGTCTACAACATTGGGTTGTTAAGATATAGGGATTTTAAAATCAGAGTCTGTGGCAAAGACTCAATTCCTTTCTTGATACAGATGACTTGCCTCTGAACACTTAATTTTAATCTACGTTGGTAGATTACTACAAGGTGTACACTGTACAATGCACAGTACAGTGTATACTGTACATAATATAGTGGGCTTCAGAGCAGTATATTTTAAGTTCAAATAAACAAATCCGCGTAAAACTGTGAAGAAACCTATCCATTTATAAATTTAATTTAAAACTTCTCTTCTCTCCATAACTCTTCTATTAAATAGTTCCTAGGTTCTCTAAATAAATATTTAATTGAAGGAAACCTGCAATGCAGATGCTGGGGCCTGGGGTCAAATATAACCAAACATTTATCTTTTCTAACAGAGATTTTGCGCCAAATTTTAAAGTGACACTTTTCTTTTGAAGAAAAGAATTTATTGTTTGCCACTTAATTTAAATTTTCTAATCTCTATGTCTAAGCAACATCATAGCGTAAGCGAAACCTTTGAAATTTTGAACTTAGACTAATTGATAGATAGAATTCATTGTTTGAAATATCTAAGGACATTGAGTACAAAGATAGAGAAATTAGAAAATCAGAGATTGTGGCATTGACATCGGGTTTGTCAGATTAATTGACCCCATAAGTTATTTACCTTTCAAAAACGTTAATACTCCCTTTAACAATTATTCTTCAGGCTGTCAGAGTTGGTTTTGTTTTGCAAATATTGTGATAATTCAGAAATGAGTTCCAGGAAAAATATAAATTGTTTTTTTTCTTTTCTTCAGTTTTATAATTGTTCTGTGATATGAGAAGGGTCAAAGGAAGAAAATGCACCCCCCCCCCCCCATTCCTGTTGAAAATAATATAATTGGATTTATCATTAAAAAGAATTTAAAAACAACAAATCATCCTTGTAACATTATGGCGCATTGCTAAAGTTTTTCGTTGAGGGGTGCATATAATTTTAAAAATAACACGGAAATGATTCTTGATGAATTAGTGGGAAAAAAATGAAAAATGGAGATCAAAATATCAAAATGCAAATTTGTTTATAAATTTTGATACTTTCCCCCAATAAATTCATTTATATTTCCTTTAAAAACATTTTTTTCCCATTTCAAGCAAAAACAAATACCTATTAATTTTTCTAGTTCTAAATTTGAATTTGAAACTGTTGTCTTCTTTTGTCTATTTGGTAATTTATAACGTTGACAAGTCAATCGGAAAATGTAAAGCTAAGACAAAGTTGCAAAAAGGGAATCTGAAAGTAGGAAGTTTAGATGGAGTCTTTAAACTTAGATTGGTTGGTTTCTACTGAAAGGCGAATACACAGTAATTTCTTAACGGGATTAGAAGTTTTTAGGATAAAAACATACTTTTAGACTAGGATAACAGAGCACTTTACGACAATATTTCGGTTTGATCTTATCTTTTTGTCGTTAATTTATCTGAAAGCCTCTCGTACGTTTTGGAATAATAATAATAAAAGATTTGAGGTTGTTTATGATTTCTCTGGGAAATTTTTAATATAATTTTTAATTGAAGGGATTTAGAGGCAACAGTTTCAATTATTCCTTTTAACCTACCTTTCCTGTTAGATAGTGTAGTTTTGACTTTTTTTTTGATAAAAACAAATTAAAAAAAAACATTCATTGGTTTTTATCAAAACTTTGCGCGCAATGCGCTAAAATTATTTTACCACTGAAAATTTTCTTATTTTAAAACAAAAAATCCCACCAAGTATTGCGAGATAAAAACCCCGAAAAAAAGATTCACTTTTTTCAATGATTTTACTCTCATTAATACATTTTGTTTGCGCAACATTTTCATATTTATATTATATATTATATATATTGCTAGTTTATCTGCCCGAACCTTCAAGTTTGTGTTCTTTTCTGCTTTATTAAGATTAAATGTTTGTAATTTAACCTGAGATGGTTTCCAGCTTTTATTCTTGTTTCTCTTCTAGTAAAAGATAACACAGAACAATCTTCAATATTGTTGAGAACCTCTCAACATAGAAAGTAAACACTAAAGTAAAATAAATACGCTGAAACTTCTTCACATTTTACCAAAATCAAAGGTTGGAGCTTTCGTATGGAGTGTTATTAATCTTTAACGTTTGATTTCTATATCCATTATGGACACAAGATGAAGACCAATGCTTGATCTTGAGATTTACACAAAAGTTTTAAGATTTTGTTCTACAGATTAAAATATTAGAAAAGCAATATACATCTAAAAAAGAAATAAGAAAAAAAGTGATGTAATTGCAAAATTACTCATACTGAGTTTAAAAAAGTGTTAAAAGGAAAATTAAAAGGAGTAAAGGTGAATAAAGTTTTCAGCATACTTCAAATTTAAACACTATTTTGATTACACTTTGAAGAATCATAAACTGTGTCCGATCACTAAGCCAATCATTACTCCAATTTCTGCTTGGAGGGGGTCTAATTTCTACTAGGGGGGGGGGGTCCAATTTCTGCTAGGAGGAGGGGGTCCAATTTCTCCTCAGAGGGGGTGGGGGGTTCCAATTGACTCCCCTATGTTTTTTATATTGCCTAAAAACTATAAAGGTTAGAAAACTGGAATTTTGGAGAATAATAATCCTCAACATTTTTCCTCTTTTTGCAACAAAATATGCCATACAACTAACAGTTCTTTTATTCATTCAACAATAGAAAGTTATATGTTTTCGGATAGCTGCTAAAAGATTATATAAAACAATAATAGTTTTAATCAGTTTGCATTATTTGTTCTGCAGTTTTGCAATGTTATTTTTTTTGCACAGGTTTTGTAAACACCTGTTTATTCCATTGACATACATTCTGAAATATCATAACTCAGAAAGAAAATAGGCAAATCACTTGTGTAAACTATTGCAAACTTTTTGAATAATTTTTGCAACACTTTGCACAAATATTTCTTTATTTGAAAATATTTCACCATTATTGATATTGACAGGTGAGATGCCTTCCAAAAAAGTGTATTGTATTATTTGTCATTTGCATAAAATATTTTCAATTTGTGCAAAAAGAGTGCAAAACACTGCAAAATGCAAATTGCAAAGAATTGCAATTTTTGCTTCTGTGTTTAAATTTAGAAATGGTCCAATAACTGTTCAGTAGTTCATAATGACATGATATGTAACTGAAGTATGAATCTACAGTTACTACTTATCTTTGCAAAATACCAAAACTAGTTTGCAAAAATGACATATTTTTGCAAATCTAAAGTTCTAAGGTTGAACCATAAACTTAAGATAAATTTTATTTGTTTATCCTAAAAAGCAAATAAAAAGTGATAGAAAGCAAAATATGTAAATATCAGAATCTGAATTGGCCTATTCAAGAGCTTTCAAAAACTGTATAATTTTTCATATTTATCTTGAAAATTACGGATTTAGAAGGGGGGGGGGGGAGCAATTTGGCCCCATCCCCTCCAGCTTAGCATATCCTGGTGTTCAAGTACCCCAGCAGGGATAGGGTTAAACTGTGTCTGATCACTAGAGTAACATTAAACTGTGTCTGATCACTAGAGTAACATTAAACTGTGTCTGATGACTAGAGTAACATTAAACTGTGTCTGATCACTAGAGTAATTATTAAACTGTGTCTGATCACTAGAGTAACATTAAACTGTGTCTGATCACTAGAGTAACATTAAAATAAACTGTGTCTTATCACTAGAGTAGCATTAAACTGTGTCTGATCACTAGAGTAACATTAAACTGTGTCTGATCACTAGAGTAATCATTAAACTGTGTCTGATCACTAGAGTAACATTATACTGTGTCTGATCACTAGAGTAATCATTAAACTGTGTCTGATCACTAGAGTAACATTAAACTGTGTCTGATCACTAGAGTAATTATTAAACTGTGTCTGATCACTAGAGTAACATTAAACTGTGTCTGATCACTAGAGTAACATTAAACTGTGTCTGATCACAAGAGTAACATTAAAATGTGTCTGATCACTAGAGTAACATAGAACTGTGTCTGATCACTAGAGTAATCATTAAACTGTGTCTGATCCCTAGAGTAACATAAAACTGTGTCTGATCACTAGAGTAACATTAAACTGTGTCTGATCACTAGAGTAATCATCAAACTGTGTCTATTCACTAGAGTAATCATTAAACTGTGTCTGATCACTAGAGTAATCATTAAACTGTGTCTGATCACAAGAGTAATCATTAAAATGTGTCTGATCACTAGAGTAATCATTAAACTGTGTCTGATCACTAGAGTAATCATTAAACAGTGTCTGATCACTAGAGTAACATTAAACTGTGTCTAATCACTAGAGTAACATTAAACTGTGTCTGATCACTAGAGTAACATTAAACTGTGTCTGATCACTAGAGTAATCATAAAACTGTGTATGATCACTAGAGTAACATTATACTGTGTCTGATCACTAGAGTAATCATTAAACTGTGTCTGATCACTAGAGTAATCATTAAACTCTGTCTGATCACTAGAGTAATTATTAAACTGTGTCTAATCACTAGAGTAACATTAAACTATGTCTGATCACTAGAGATAACATTAAACTGTGTCTGATCACTAGAGTAATCATTAAACTGTGTCTGATCACTAGAGTAATTATTAAACTGTCTCTGATCACTAGAGTAACTTAAATCTGTGTCTGATCCCTAGAGTAACATAAAACTGTGTCTGATCACTAGAGTAACATTAAACTGTGTCTGATCACTAGAGTAATCATTAAACTGTGTCTGATCACTAGAGTAACATTAAACTGTGTCTGATCCTAGAGTAATTATTAAACTGTGTCTGATAACTAGAGTAATCATTAAACTGTGTCTGATCACTAGAGTAATTATTAAACTGTGTCTGATCACTAGAGTAACATTAAACTGTGTCTGATCACTAGAGTAACATAAAACTGTGTCTGATCACTAAAGTAATCATTAAACTGTGTCTGATCACTAGAGTAATCATTAAACTGTGTCTGATCACTAGAGTAATCATTAAACTGTGTCTGATCACTAGAGTAATAATTAAACTGTGTCTAATCACTAGAGTAATTATTAAACTGTGTCTAATCACTAGAGATACATAAAACTGTGTCTGATCACTAGAGTAATCATTAAACTGTGTCTGATCACTAGAGTAACATTAAACTGTGTCTGATCACTAGAGTAATCATGAAACTGTGTCTGATCACTAGAGTAATCACTGAACGTGTCTGACCACTTGAGTAACATTAAACTGTGTCCGATCACCAGAGTAAAATAAAACTGTGTCTAAACACTAGAGTAATTGGTAAATTAGAGTATATAATGCACTGTGATCATTGGACCAACGGTATAAACTTGTTTAGGTCTAACTTGAATCAATCTGTATCAAGTAGTTGGTTAGCTGACAGATCAGAGAGCTCTTCATCATCAACTGCAAGCAGGTTGTCTGCTGGATGTTCAGTTAACTGCACACTCATGTCACAATTAGAAATCAGTGTAGTTCTGGTGGTGCCTAGCAGATCAGTGCACGTTATTCAATGTTATTTTCTCACATTCAAAAATATGTTACTTTTCCAGGTGTTAAAAATTCATATTTAAATATATACATATATATATAAGAAAAAATGCATGTCTGATAAAGATTGGGCAGATTAAGGGGAGGCAAAGTCAGAATATGTGAGATCAGAATCGGTCAAATTATGTAAAGTTAAGACTATTCAGATTATACAAGATCATTAGTATAGTTTATGCAAGGTTATAACTCAGAACTGGTCAGATTATCCAAGGTCAAAACCATTCAGATTATGCAACGCCAGAACCAGTCAGATTATGCAAGGTCATAACTAGTCAGATTATCCAAGGCCAGTGTCAGACAGATTATGCAAAGTGAGAATAGTTAAGATGATTTAGGATTAGGTCAGGTAAGATTATGCAATGTTAGGACCGATCAGACTGAAAAAGATCTGGACCAATCAGTGTATGCAAGTTCAGGACCGGTCAGATTATGCATGCAGACTTTGGACTGTTCGGATTATGCTGGGTTCGGACTTTAAAGGTTTTAAGATCAAGTCCAAAGATACTATGCAAGGTCAGAATCGGTCAAAATATACAAGTTCAGAACCGGTTTATGTTTGATCGGTATTATTTTTAATTATGCAAGATCAGATTAATTTAGCAAAAATTTATTTCTCAGGGCTACTTGGTTCTCTCTTAGATTCTTTGTTGGTTTAATTTTCCATTGTATACAGAGCTTTAGTTAAAACCACAGCTGGAAGATGTTGCACTTCTCAATGTTGTTGTATCATCACAATCATACATTGTTAATTGTTGTGACAGTGTTGTAAAGCATGTGATAAATGAGAGCTATGTTTAGTGAACATGGTTAATGATCAAATATCTAATTTTGATTTGCCATCTTGTTTAGGTCGAATGCTCCCTCTGCAGCTAGTAGCAGACTCAATGCAATAGACAAGTTCATCATCACTTGTATCTTCAGTATATTTAGTACCATCATAGAGTATGCTATCATACTCTCTATACTTTGTCTCAGGTTAGTAAATTTAGTAAGTTTGGTAACTATAAAGATACTGTTGACATGAATTCCAGTGAAGTGTCGGGGGTCCCCTTATAGGGTTGTTGATTGTTTTTTTAAAACTATAAAAAAAATTCGTCTCGTTTTCGTTTTTAGAAAAAACAATGGATTAACACGAACGAACCAATCGTTTTGAACTTTTAAAAACAAAATTCCATCCTTATGGAAAAAATTTTTCTAATGAATCTGAGATAAATGACAATTAATTAAAAAAATTTAGAAGATAGATTATTAATGTTATTTTAAATTTTTTTAACCTGAATGCTTTTTGACATCAAGTTTTTTAATTTAAGGATTTTCCAACCAAAAAGTGTATTTTGTCATAAAAATTTCGTCAACGAATCGTTATCAAAAGATCTTCGTTAACGATTGTCCAAAATTAAAAACGACCTATCTTCATTTACGAAACAACGAACTAAAACAAAAACAACGTCCTCATTTTGAAATTTTGAAATTTTTATTAAAATTTAATGACATTTTCAAAGGCTAACGTTTTTAAAACAAAACTGTTTCGTTTTTTTTTGTTTTTAAGGTCTCTCCTGCACCATTTAAAAGGGTGCAATCCCGATTCACAACCCGTTACCTGAGCAAAAATAAGAAAGATATCGTCAGAATATTTTCAGTTAGGAATAAACAGATATCTTGCTCATCTTTGACTTTTAAAAACCATTACAAAATGCAAAACCAACTAAACTCTGTTTTTTTTAAAGAACACATTTTTCTGTAAATCTACAGTCCTCGGAAAATAATTTTAAAAAACACATATCAAAAATTGCTTAAAAGACTCCATACTCCTGTTTTGAACTTCTGATAAATATGTTTTGATTATGATAAAATTCCTGCCAAACACTCCAGAATCTTTGTTTATGTTAATATTCCTTAATGGAAACTATAATCAATTGATTAATGTATTCATTAGGGATTTCTAGTTCAGAACTACACAGATTCTACAGATTCTACAGATTCTACAGATTCTACAGATTCTACAGATTCTACAGATTTCACAGATTCCACAGATTCCACAGATTCCACAGATTCTACAGATTCTACAGATTCTACAGATTCTACAAATTCTACAGATTCTACATATTCTACAGATTCTACAGATTATACAGATTTTACAAATTCTACAGATTCTACAGATTCTACAGATTCTAAAGATTCTACAGATTCTACAGATTCTACAGATTCTACAGATTCTAAAGATTCTACAGATTCTACAGATTCTACAGATTCTACAGATTCTACAGATTCTACAGATTCTACAAATTCTACAGATTTTACAGATTCTACAGATTCTACAGATTCTACAGATTCTACAGATTCTACAGATTCTAAAGATTCTACAGATTCTACAGATTCTACAGATTCTAAAGATTCTACAGATTCTACAGATTCTAAAGATTTTACAGATTTTACAGATTCTACAGATTCTACAGATTCTACAGATTCTACAGATTCTAAAGATTCTAAAGATTCTAAAATTCTACAAATTATACAAATTCTACAGATTCTACAGATTCTACAGAATTTACAGATTCTACAGATTCTGCAGATTCTACAGATTCTGCAGAATATACAGATTCTACAGAAACTACAGATTCTACAAAAACTACAGATTCTACAGAAACTACAGATTCTACAGATTCTACAGGTTTTACAAATTCAACAGATTTTACAGATTCCATAGATTCTGCAGAATATACAGATTCTACAGAAACTACAGATATTACAGACCTCAATATTCAAAGAATTTAAGGTGTTCATTAAAGTCTCCTCCTTTGATAGTAACCCTGTATGTTATTTTAGACCAGAAAAGAAGCCTGGTGAAACATTGTACACTTTTGAAAATGGAGATAATGGTCAATTCAAGCCTTCAATAAAGGTAAATAATCAATGAATAAGTTCAAGGATTATTCATTATTACTTTTTCAATATCATTGGTCTAAAAAGTCAAAGATATAGGGTCAGAGCAAATCAAACATAGGTACAGGGTTCAGAGCAAATCAAACATAGATATAGGGTTCAGAGCAATTCAAACATAAATATAGGTTTCTGTGCAATTCAAACATAGATATAGGGTCAAAGCATTTCAAACATAGATATAGGGTTCAGAGCAAGTCGAACATAGATATACGGTTCAGAGCAATTCAAACATAGATATAGGGCTAAGAGCAAATCAAACATAGATATAGGGTTTAGAGCAATTCAAACATAGATATAGGGTTCAGAGCAAGTCCAACATAGATATAGGGTTCAGAGCAAATCAAAAATAGATATAGGGTTCAAAGCAATTAAACATAGAGGTAGGATAAAAAGTAAATCAAACATAGATATAGGGTTCAGATCATTTCAAACATAGATATAGGGTACAGAGAAAATCAAACATAGACGGTACAGAGCAAATCAAACATAGACATTGGGTTCCGAGCAAATTAAACATAGACGTAGGGTTCAGAGCAATTCAAACATAGATATAGGGTACAGAGCAAATCAAACATAGATGCAGGGTACAGAGCTAATAAAACATTTTAATGGAATATAGAGCAAATCAAATATAAATATAGGGTACAGAGCAAAGAAGACATTGATATAGGGTACAGAGCTAAAAAACATTAATAAAGAATCTAGAGCAAATCAAATATAAATTTAGGGTACAGAGCAAATCAAATATAGACAGAGTATTTTACTATGTACTTTTTTCTTTTATACCATTTTCATGGTTACCAGTAACTTTTCATAATTTTACAAAAAAAAACTATTTAAAATTTTGAAAAAATGAATTTTTATTTAAAACTTCCAAACTTCAGATTTGACTCTTCTTCAACAATATTTTAGGCCCGATTGTCCTGGGTTTTGGAAAATCCTCGAATATTTGATGCTTTCAGTATCATCATTTTCCCAACCTTCTTCTTCTTCTTCAATATTCATTACTGGTTCATTGCTGACTACCAGACCACACAGAAGCTTCATTAACTGCTCTGCATCAGAAACTGAAAAAAACTTTAAAGTGAAAATTGATATGGTTGAAAGAATATCAAGCAAAATTTCATTCTAAAAAAATTCAAATTTTTATGTTGTAAAGTACCTCTGAAAATGTGGAGTTATAACAAAATTGTTTTTTCTAAATCAACTTTGATTTGGGTGTTAGAACTCTAAATTTAGAAATGAAACCTCCAAATACAGTAACAAATTTGTATCCAGAGGTTAGAACTCAATATTTATTGCAAATATTTTACTTTAAAGCGATTAAGTACCTTATCCGTGCGTAAAATATAACTGACCATTATTTTTGTGATTTGGTTTCTGATCGGTCGAACCTTTTTATACATCTGAAAAGAAATTAACTTAATCTCTTGGACTATAAAAGATACAGATTAGCGCGGTCTTAAGGATTTAACAATTCAAAAATTTCAACCTCAATTTCAAAATTTAATTTTTGTCTTGAATTTTTTAAACGATTAAAAAGTCTCTGAATCGATATAATAAAGACCATGTATTCTTGGCAACAAATTATAAAACGTCTTTGACCGATAAAATGTGATTTTCCCAGTTTACTTTTAACCAAGTACACTATATATATATATATAGATCCATATATATATTCATATATATATATATATATATATATATATATATACAGGGCGTCCCAAAAAACATGCGAATTCAGTGACGAATTCTATATCGTCTTTGTTATGAAATAGCATTGTAATACCTAATTTCAAAAGCCATAATATTATTATGTCTGCCAGAGTTTAGTTTGAAAAAGTTAAAAGACTGATAACGATGTGTCTATAATGTCTCCGCAAGAGGAACAGTGAACACGGACAAGTTTACTCTGTTTGTATACTGCATTTTTCTTGTTATACTAAGTACAACCGTATGCATTCAAAGCATAAACAAACAAAATGTAAACATGCATAGCAGACGAAACTCTTACAGATTACACCTTTCTCAGTAGGTATCACTATACTAAATCAAAGAATTATTTGAAAAGACGATATCGAATTCGTCACTGAATTCCCATGTTTATTGGGACACCCTGTATATACTTTATGTAAATTTGTGTATTTTATACACTATGCACAATGCACATGAGGGTGAATCATATAACGATGACAGGTAAAATAAATGGACTCTTTAAGGGACTGTCGTTGAGTTTTGAGTAATCTTCTATTTAAAAACGGGAGCATGTCTGATTCACAACATTACCCTTTAATAGAGATGGGCATCGCTGTCGTTAACTAACGAAATATTAAAAAAGAACAAAATTGTTCCTGAACGATGGCGTCGTTAAGAATAGGTAACTAACGATGAACCTACGAAGTGGATTAGTTAGATAATTATAAAACTTTTTCAAAACGAACGACAAAAAACGGAAAAGGTTTAAAATCGTTAACAATCGTTCTCACTTTATGAACCAGTAAGATCGTTCATGAATGATTTAAAAAATTGTGAACCTTTAACTAAACGAACGATTTTGCTGAACAATCAATTTTACTGAACGAACAATTTTACTGAAAGAACGTTTGTTGAACATATTTGCACAAAAAAACGAATGATTCATTATGATGGAGGCAAAAACTTACTGTAACCCTATATATTCATGTTTTTCTTTTTTATAATTTATTATGATGGTTGATTGCAGTTAATATGAGGTATCTCGGAAACTGAGTTTAAACTTGTTGTTCATTATGTTTAAAGGCAGGGTTACCTACAAAGGATAAGACGTTAATGACGACCTCAAACTATTTAGATAATCTTAAATTTAAATTTGGTCTTAATGTTATATTGAATAATTTTACAAAGAACAAACATGCATACAGGATAATATTACAAGTTTTAACAAAAGACGGAATTGATTTCATAAAGTCGTCTTTGATGTCTCATTTTTGTGAGAAACCCTGTACGTATAGAAACGAAATTCTTTTCCATCTAGAGTATCTCAGTATCTTTTACAAATGCAAAAAAAGATGGACAAAGGAATTGAGTTTTTGCCACAAACTCTGATTTTCTAATTTCAATATCGTTGCAACCCAATATTGTAGACCTTTAATATTTCAAACTATGAATTCTGATCAAATAATGTAAGTTTGAAATATCAAAGGTTTACATTATAAGATTGCAAAGATATAGGTTTTATAAAAACTGAATTTGTGGCAAAGACTCAATTCCTTTGGATTAATATAAGCGAGAATTTGCTTCAAAGAATTCAGTGCAAAATGCAGTGTAAAAATGCAGTGTAAAAATGATTTACTTAGGTAAATTGATCTTGTATCTAGTGCAGAGCACATTTTTGTGAACTGATCTTAAAAAAGTTGACTTTTCTTATTTGTAAGATTTTAAAAATATCTTTTTTAGAGCAATATAATGTAAAATATTAAATTATACTTCTGTGTTATTATTGGAATGGCGGACTGAATTTTAACATTTTCATTAGCAATAGGAAAAATAATTATCTAAAAATCGGTTGTTTAATACAGGGTGTCCCACACCAAATTAGACCGCGTCAATGGGTCTAAATTACGATTTCGGGAACAAATCAGAAAATTTAAGAAGAATGAATCATTTTGAAAAATTTAATAAGGCTAACAAAAAAATTTTTTTTTTTGAAAATGCTAGATTTTTTTAGTATAATGTGCGTATTTAGGTGTTAAAGATTGGAGATATGATATGGGACGCTCTGTAGTTTTTAAAAATATATTTCCTTTTTTGCAGATCAGCAGGATACAACTGTTTCGAATTGTAAAATTGAATTCACCTTGTTTTCTGAATATTTTGTTGTACTTGTATCTTTCTAAATTATTCTACATGATACCTAGCACATTACATATATAGCCTGCACAATAAAATAATATTCAACATAATATTTTAAACAGAAGATAAAATACAGGGAGAGAGAAAAACAAAGATTTAAAGAAGGGAATGGAAATGATGAACTATAAATCAAGAAGAAGATCGGAATTTAAGAAAACAAGAATAAGAACAAGAACAAGAACAAAAAGAACAAGAAGAACAAGTGGAACAAGAGGAATAAGAAGCACAAGAAGAACAAGAATAATAAGAAGAACAATAGGGGCAAGAATAACAAGAACCAAAATCAAGAACAAGACTAACAAGAACAAGAAAAACAAGAACAAGAATAATAAGAACAAGAGCAAGAGCAAGAAAAAACAAGAACTAAAACAAGAACAAGAACAAGAACAAGAACAAGAACAAGAACAAGAACAAGAACAAGAACACGATCAAGATCAAGAACAAGAACAAGAACAAGAACTAGAAAAAAGAACAAGATCAAGATCAAGATCAAGATCAAGATCAAGATCAAGAACAAGAACAAGAACAAGAACAAGATCAGGAACAAGAACAAGAATGAATGTTTCCTCTGAGATTGGTATGTAACGACGTATGACTAATTGTGATGGTTAATTTTGAACTTTGAGACAATTTCATGAATTCCCATTGAAACGGTGTGGATGGAGATAGATAGATACAACAAAGACACCACGTCATGCTTCCCGCGTTTTCCCGAGAGAATATTTTGAATTATGCTTCTCGGGATATAAGTAATTTTTAGTTCGGGATTTAATAAAAAAAAATTTTTGGGATATTGCTAGTTTTTAATTCGGATTTAATAATAAATTTTCTGGGATAAAATATTTATATTAGTTTGAGATCATCAGTTGATTAAAATACAACGATAAAAATTATTAAAAGGTTTTACGGTGTTTAAAATTTCTTTTTCAATGGTCAGTGTGCCTTTTTCGAACCCCATTTTTAGATGTAATTTCAAGTGGCTCTCTCCATACCCGATAGAGTAACTTAAAGAACGATATCGTCGTTTTTTATCTTGAAAAGTGTAAAAAGCTGACAACTTTATTCATTGTCTCAGTATATAAAGAAATTGCTCAAAAATGTGAAACTATGTAGGTTTGAATAAAGAGGGGTTGTAAAATATGTTCCGATCTGGGAAAAATTCGACAAAACGCAGCTAGTGAGGATGTTAAGAAATCTGCGGGGAAAGTTCTCGACACAAGAAAAGATGTGGCGACTAGAGCTCTCATATTTTTGGTTTGATTTTCTTCCAATACAGTCATGAAACAACAGTTTCAAATTTCAAATCCTTAATTTCGCGATAATTAATAAGAGTAAGGAAGAACAAGAACAAGAATACATTTATGGTGCTATCTATACACCTTTGTTTGATATTTTGGGAGTTGAATTGCCAGAAAAAAATCCTTCTCTGAAATCTCCGAACTCAAAAGATATAAATATTTTCACATATAAATTCCTCAAAGAAGATTTATTTAGGATTAGGGATAGGCATTTGTGTCATATATGGTTTTTAAGTTACACAAAAAGCAAACAAACTTTGTTATTTATTACTTTTTTATAAAATTCGGGATCCTTATCAGTTTAATTCTTTTTTGAGTTTATACGTTTTTAAATTTGATAAAAAATAAAAATTCTTATTTTAAAAATATTTCTGAGTGAGACGATGCGTATACCTAAATATTCTACAAAATAAGATAAATTGACTGTATAAAATCCGTCACAATATTTCCCCAAGGTAGACAAAGCAATATGGGGGAAATATAAATGTAATATTCGAACAGATGGGGTTTAGCAGGAGAGACGTCAATTTATACTTAAAGGACAAAGGAACTGAACACTTGTAACAAACTCAAATTTTCTAATCCTTATATCTTTGCAACCTACTGTCGTAGACCTATGATATTTCCTTTTCAAACTAAAGATAGATCAATTAGTATTAGTTTGGTTTATCCAAAGGTTTAAATAAGCTTGTTAAGCTTGTTATAGGAATTAGAAAATAAATTTGTGTAAAATGTTCAACGCTTTTGATTTAAAAATTTAAAAAAAATGCCCTTAACTCTAAAATTGAAAATACGCCCCTGATCTTAAAGAAATTTTTAATCTTGTTTCCGAAAAGTTTTACCATGCAAGATGTTGATTTTTTCAAATTTTTGAAATCAATCCATGTTTACAGAAAAATCCGCAAAATTTTGAGTTTTACATTTACGAAGAAAGCCATATTCATGTTATAAATCGACATCGCCTTTAATTTTAAAAGAGCGTTATTAATCTTGAAAGAAGTCTTAAATCTTAAAGTATGTATTTAATAATGAAAAGCGTCTTTTAACTTAGGATATCTACGTTTTAAATAAAGAAAGACGTCTTTAATCTTACAAATTGCGTTTCTTTTTAATTGTACTTTTATTCTGAAAATTCCTTTTAATTTTTAAATATCTCTTTAATCTTAAATGGTG